CCATGAAATCGCTTCATCGTGAGATCGTTCTCAGTGCGACCTATCAGCAAGATTCGCAGCAAGGGGAAGGTGATCCACAAAATCGATGGTTGGCCAGGGGGCCGCGGCTACGCGTCGATGCGGAAATGGTGCGAGACATTATGCTCTCGGCCAGTGGAAAGCTCTCCGACAAGATGTATGGTCATGGTGTCTTCCCCCCTCAGCCTCAAAGTGTGACGGCACTCGCCTACGGCAATTTCAAATGGACGCCGTCCCGAGGGGAAGATCGCTTCCGCCGATCGATTTATACGTTCAGTAAGCGAACGGCACCGTTCGCTGCGTTTACGGTATTCGATGCTCCCAGCGGTGAAGTCTGTACCGCCAAGCGAGACCGCAGCAATACGCCGCTGCAAGCGTTGACACTTTTGAACGACGGGATGTACATCGAACTTGCTCAGGCAATGGCTGCCGCGGCAAAAGACGAAGCTGATAGCGACGAAGCAATTGCGGAGAATCTCTTCCGGCGATTGCTCACTCGGCCACCGGAATCGGAAGAGCTGAAAGCGATCCTGCAGTTTCACGCCAGCCAGCATACGCGTCTTCGTGACGGAGAGCTCGACGTGAAGGCGATCGGCGGCGCCAAGTCGGTCGATCCCAACGACGCCGCTTGGGTTATGGTGGCTCGTGCTTTGTTGAACTTGGACGAAGCAATAACGAAACCTTAAGTAAGAACCAGCCCCCTATGAATTGGTTGCACGCCCAAACTCGCCGGCACTTCTTTCGTAACTGCGGTGTCGGACTCGGTAAGATTGCTTTGGCTTCGCTATTGGCTGAGTCCAGCTTAGGCACGCGCGAAGCCCAGGCCGACACGGTAAGTCCGTTCGCTCCCAAGCCGACGCATTTCCCCGGAAAAGCGAAACGGGTCATCTACTTGTTTATGGCCGGCGCTCCGAGTCAATTGGAATTGTTCGATCACAAGCCGAAACTGTCCGAGATGGAGGGCAAACCNNCAGCGATACGCGTTTATTCAACCCGACGCGGCCGTGTTGGGGCCACGCTTTAAGTTTGCCAGACATGGCCAGAGTGGGGCGGAAATCTCGGAGATGTTGCCCCACTTGTCGAAAGTGGTGGACGATATCTCCATCTTACGATCCGTCCACACCGACCACTTCAATCATTCGCCGGCGCAACTGTTCTGCAATACCGGGAACGGTGTGCCTGGTCGGCCAAGTATGGGGTCGTGGCTTAGCTATGGTCTTGGTAGCGAAGCCAACGACTTGCCGTCGTTTGTTGTACTGAAAAGTGGGGGCAGTCTCAGCGGCGGTGCCGCGATGTGGAACGCAGGCTTTTTGCCGTCCGTCCATCAAGGCGTCCCCTTCCGCGGACAAGGCGATCCCATCCTGCATGTTTCCAACCCGCCTGGCTACGACGTGAAAGCCCAACGCGATTCGATTGATTTGATTCGTCAGCTCAACCAGCGTCAGCTGGGGGATGTTGGCGATCCTGAAATTCAGACGCGGATGGATGCCTACGAAATGGCCTTCCGGATGCAAGCTCGCGCGCCGGAGTTGATGGACTTCTCGCAAGAGTCGCAGGAGACCATGCAGCTTTACGGTGCCGATCCCAGCGATACCAAGAAGACGTTTGCGAATAACTGTTTGCTGGCTCGTCGATTGGCCGAACGCGGTGTCCGCTTCGTTCAAGTCTATCACGCCGGATGGGACCACCACAGCAATGTCGAAGGAGGTGTTCGTTCGCAGTGTCTGCAAACCGATCAAGCTTGTGCCGCGCTGGTAGAAGACCTGCGTCGCCGTGGGATGCTGGACGATACATTGATCGTCTGGGGAGGCGAGTTCGGTCGCACGCCCATGGTGGAAGCAAGTGCCGCTTTGGGACGCAGCCAAGGACGCGACCATCATCCGCAAGCGTTCACCATGTGGTTTGCTGGGGGTGGTATG